GTTTGAACATCTTTTCAACTCCATTCTTACTTTCATAATCACAAGCACAACCTAAACAAAGTTAAAGGTGTGTGGACACATCCATTTTCTGTTTGCAACAAAGGACCGAACTCTTAAAACAGAGCATGAGTCCAACCACTTTGAATAATCTTATCGGAACAGTGTTACCAAGGCAGTGACAAAATAACAACAACCTTATTTCGGTGGTAGACGGACGAGATCTTCACTTCGATTGTGGCTGTCGCGATGACTGATGAATGTTGCAACCCTTGCTCGTGTAAGTCAATATGTGGTTTTGGATATCACTTGCGAACGTGTGGTTAAGAAGGAGAGGTATATTTGTCACCCCATTCTCCACCTTTTTCACATATCCAATTTCCTAAACCAATACCACATGTTGAAACGACTTCTTCAACAGTACTCAAATCCAATTTTTACACTTCTTCTTGCATTGCAGGGCAAGTGGGTTTGATGGGCATATTTTCCAAAAATACCTAACCAAACGTGGTTTATTCAGATTCTCACATGCACTTAGCTAGCAATGTTTTAACTTCTCCCCAACAAAACACTACCTAAAAGTCAAGTTATCCCATTAGTGTTTTTCTTACGAGTTCAAACCTTCCATATTATAAGAATATTTTAACTATTAAACTCAAGTTTACTTATTTGTGAATACATGTAGATGTTAGGTTTAAAAAAAACTTCAAATAAACTATATTAATGCATTTCATTGTAATCTTTAAATCATACATCTAAACCGATAATTATAATTAACACAACTTAAATATGTGGTATTTTCTTTATCTACTTTCCCTAATCACCTGAAATATGTCCAATTATCTTTTCATCTAAATTTGCAAGACATCGTTGAACACCACGTGTTTCCAATGTCTAAAATAAGTGCAATTCTGTTAACAAATAAATAATAATAATTAGTGTAGGTTATGAGCTGGTGTCAATTCAGCTAAAATTTTCAGTGTTTGTTAAGGAACGAATAATGAAACCTCGATTTTTATTTTTTTATTTTATTGATAGTTCTTGTTTACGTTAATGGTATCAATTTGCTTAACGAGGTAATGGGAAATCCTCTACTGGGCTTAGTCACAAAATCCTTTAAATGGGCTAGTCTCCTTTTATCCCGTTTGGGCCTAGTGACAGGTCTTGTTCGAGTTGGGTTTACCCCAACTGTGTAGACTGAGATGTGGAGCGTTCAACAACAGACCACACTTTAGGTTAATAGTTGGGTTTATCCCGTTTGAACTTAAATAAATTTTTTTGTTGAGACTGTAGGTGAAGGCTTTTTCACCCAATACTCTCTTATCTATATTAAGAAATTTTATAATTTTATATATAGAATAAATTCAATTCAAAAATTTAAACAGTCAGGTGAATATCAATTAATAATTTTTATATCATATTTCTCTAATAAAACTATGACTATTTGCCATTTTTGTCTGAGTCCTAATATCCACTTCACCCTAATCAATATATTTGTTATAGAAATAAGAAAATGATAGTACACATTAATTTGATGCTATATTATTTTTACCGTTCCCTAAAAATAAGGGAAAAGATTCACTTACCACTAAAAAAAGTTTACAACTTTTTCAACCAATTTAATCACCGTTGATTTTCATCAATCAATCGGTTATAATTTATTGAAAATTAATAGTATTTATTGTGTCACATTTATTAATTTTCAATAAATTATAACCGTTAGATTGATGAAAATCAACGGTGATTAAATTGATTGTAAAAATTGTAAATTCTTTTGGTGGTAAGTGGATCTTTCCCTTTATTTGTATATCATTTTTGGATAAGATTAGTTTTTTTTTTTTTTTTTTTGGAAACTTTGGATAAGATTAGTTGAAACATCTATATCAGGCATAAATGAAACTTCAGCCAAGTCATTCAATAAAAGTCCGTCACAAGACGTAGGTTTAGTTCCTCTTATACATTAAGCATAAGATATGCCTTCTTAATACTTTATGTCCAAATAATTCTTTTACAAAGGAACATGTTAACCAACTTAAATTTTCCAAAGATATGTCTTCTTTTCCAATAAATGATGTAAATTTTGGCGTCTTTTGAAATTTCACAATGTTAAAATAATTTTGAGCCAACAAAGGTGGACACAGTTGGCTAAGAGTTTAGTCCATACCCTCAAGGACGTGGGTTCAAACCCCGCTGGCCGATGTGAGGACTTTGTTGGTGGGTGATATATAATTCCTCCCAGAAATCCTCAAAGAGGTTGGAGGGTCTTCCTTGATCCTAGTGGGATAACGGTGTCTAACCTCACTTAAATTTTTTTTGTATTAAAAAAATAATAATAATAATAATAATTTTGACATTTTACATGCTTTAGGTGACGGTAAAAAATGCCAGTTTTTTTTTGGCATTCTTAAACCAGCACAAATTTTTTTTTTTTTTAGGAATTTACTCGCTTACCTTTTTTAAAAATAAACTAAGGCTTTCGGTGACTCAATTTTTTCAAAAATTTAGGCAAGCTAAATATCAAACCCTATTACTTGCTTTACATTGTGGTTGAAGGTTCTGAACATTGTTTTTCTTAGAGGTATAATCTTCTTTCTTCTATATTCTTCACTTGTGTTTTCTGTACTTTCTTAGATTTGATACCTAAACTTCTTTTCCTTCTTGCGCCACAATCTCCGGTGGCTTCTCCTCCATCGGTGTTGTCGTCGCCACGTTTGTCTTCTGCTCGTTTTCTCCGATTTGATACCTAAACCTATTCAAGGTTAGTTTACACATTTTTAGTTGAGTTGGAGTAGGCCAACGCCCCCAAGCGTCCTTAAATTTTGATTCTCTAAACGGATGTATGTTCTTTTTGTCGTAATTTCATTTTGAGATTTTGAGTGATTTTGGCAATAGAAATGATTTTGGATATGCTTCTTTCCATTGTTCAAGATTTGCCTTAGCCTACATTTATCATCTTCAGTAATCACTGGTTATTAATTATTTCCTAGCATTTCAAATCGCTGGTCAATTTGTTTTAGGAAATTTATTTTGTTTGTTTTTCACTTCATTTTTACCATAAGTTTGTCTCCTTTTCCATTCAACATTCTAATTATGTCATATTAAACTAAAAGTTAAGAAAAAGATGATAAAATTCATGCATAGTCGTATTGCACATATGTTGGAAGTTCTTAAATGATAATGCTTTTATATATTTACTTTAAATTTTGTTATCAATATGGAATATGATAGATATCAGACTTTCTACATTGGTGAAAATATGAAATATATATTGTTGACTCCACTTGTCATGAGTCCCTGTGTTGGCTTTAATTTTGAGCTTCAAATCATCTAGGAAGCTACCTATATATTGCTGAAGTATTGTGGTTATTATAGCTTAGAATTTCCATCTTATGTATTAATTGATAATGCTCGATAGAGTTGTAACAGGATCTGTTTGTAGTTGCCAAATGAGATTAAACGATTATGAGGATGCATGCCTGTTTGGGTGCATTTCAAGTTTAGAGAAAGCTTAAATCTTGCGGAGGTTTTAAATCTTAATATGACTGGAAACAACCCTTAAGCCCAATTTTGTACAGTAGATACACTGAAAATTCGGGCTTTGCTTTCCCAAACTAAGGAAATTATCCATCCACTTGGGTTTAGCAGTGAAGTGGGGTTACGATGTTACTCAACCTATTTATCGAATTTTGTCTACGGGGAAATTATGTTTTCAATATTAAAAAAAAAAGTATTTCTATAATCACTTTAGATAAGATTATTTATGATTATTTTTTATAATTATGTATTACCGGTAATACATAGTTATAATATTATTTTTTTTTCTTTTCACGTCAACAGACAGGTTCTGAAAAGTGACTAAGGAGAGAAAAAAATTAATATTATAACTATGTATTACCGGTAGTATATATTTATAATATTAAATTTACTTTTTTTTTCTTTCTCCACGTCAGTAGACAGGTTTTGAAAAGTGACTGAGTAAAAAGAAAAAAAAAATAACTTTAATGTTATAACTATATACTACCTATAATACATAGTTTTAAAGGATAACTGTATATAATCTTATATAAAGTAATTGTAAAAATGTTTACCCATATATCTATGTGTTGTTCCTACTCCTAATGTTTTTGCCGCATATACAGTAATTACTACTTTGAAATTGTACTCTTATTTTAAGTACTTTTGTATTTCAGTTTAACCAACTCAAATGATCCTTTAATTCAGTATTTGGCAGTGTTAAGTTTTTAAGAAATATTCATGAGAAGCTAGGAATGAGAAAAACATTGAAATAAAATTGGTGACGACGAAACACAAAAAAGTCTTCGTAAATTTGCTATATACTTCATTGGCACTTTGAGTTCATAGGTAGAGCGTTTTTCTTTTCCAAGCTACACCCAAAAAAAATATGTATCCGTTATTCCTTACGCCGACAAGTAACACAGAAAATATAAAATAGTGTCAAATCAACCGAAACAAGAAAAAAAAAAAAACTAAAAACTAAAGAGCACTGCTACATTAGTTTCCGAGTAATCGTAGTAGTTGCTCACATTAGATTCGGTGATTCGAGAAAGAACACTGTCGTTTATCGCGGAGGATAATAACAAATTTGAGGAAAGAGAAAATTCATTCAAATACAGAGGTTGTCAAAGCATGAAACGAGTTAGAAATAATGGCTCACAACAATCTTCTATTACCAACACACCACCATGTATTCATAAAACTATTACGAAATTCTTTTCTCAGCAATCTACCTTTCCCTTCAACAAAAAGGCTAGGGGATAGGGAAATCAATGATGGTAAAAGGAGCCTAGCCAAATCTTTTGTGCAGCAAATTGCCAAATCCTAATATTAGAAGAATCGAAATTGACAACCAAAATCCTAACACAAATTCACATACTTAACTTATCCTAACCCAATAAAGAAGAAAAAAAAGAAAATGACCTTTCTCTTCTTCTTTTTTTTCACCTTGTCATCAAGACAAGTAAAACAAAAAGAAAGAAAAAAAAATGGGGTCCATCCTCTACAAATTCAACACTTCCTTCAGCCATAACTTACATCCCAATCCCCAAATCTCTGCCACTTGACTCTCCTTCATTCAACAGCTCCTGCATCACACCAAAAAAATAAAGAACAAAGAGTGAGAAAAGCATCTAGAGATCTGATCAAAGAGAACCCATAATAAGTAAATAAACTAGACAAAAAAAAAAAAAAGACTGATTAGTGACCTGAGAATTCATATTAAGTGAAGCTCCCTGATTGACCAACATAGACCTTCTGTCTGAAGAACCTTCACTCTTCTCAACCTTTTTGGAGCCAATGTGACTTTTTCTCAGACCAAGAAGTCCCTTCCACCTTGTTGACGACCCCTTTGGTGGCTTTTGAGAAAAACCCTCATATCCATCATCATCCATAAGAAGCTCTTCCTTGAGAGTGGTGGTGGCCCTTTGCATAGGGTTGTTGCAATTATCCTTGTAAGGCAACAACCTTCCCTTGGAAAAAAGCTCATCAGCACTCATCATAGAATAGTTTGTGACTGAAAATTCGAAGTCTGAGGACACTGGCGCTTCTGATCTGGAGCTTCTTTCTTGCTTCATGGCTTGTTGGACATCCACAAAATCATTCGAGAAAGAGATTCTGGGGCTCATTGAAGCGCAGTGATGTTGTTGATGATGATTATGACCATTGTGCTCGGAGTTGTACATGTTTAAGCATGCCATCAGATTTCAGAACAACATTTAAATTAAAAGAAAACAAAATGGATGCGATGAGAAGTGAAGTAGAAACAATAAATTCTACTTGGGACCCCCTTCTCTCCTTTCCATTGTTAACAAGTTACAACCCCACTTACAGATGATGTTTGTATTTATATATGTCAAAGAAGGGATCTTCGTTTGGACATTTTTTTTCTTTTTCTTTTTTATCTCTTATTTGCCAATATTATTTATATGCATGTCATGCCGTGACATGATGTTTTGTCATGACATGTTAATTTGGCATTCAATGACGGTCATCCTTCAAGGATATGCACTTTCTCCAGTTACACTGCTCTCTACTATTGGACATAAGTGAACTAGATGAAACTGCCAAGAAAGTATATTTATTTTCCTTCTTACTTTTTACCATCTGGGTAGTCGTAAACTGAAGCAAAGGCTCGACTTTTTAGGCCAATCTCTTGTGTTTCATGTTGTAAACAAAGTTTTGGGAAGATTCGAAGAACTTGCACTTTTAACTATGTCATCTCAACATCCAATGTATAGTAACAAAACATGCAATATCCATCTTTTTCTCTTATTATTTGGCGTTTTTATTAACAACGTGGGATAATCCAAACTTATATGGTTCTATTGGCCAGCTGGAGGTGGTCAATGCATAAACAAAGAATTATACATCTTTATTGTTCTCTTGGCCCTGGGTGTTCAAAACTAAACAAAGGGTTTAAAATTAGCAGGCAAGTTATGGAGAAGGTAATTTGAAAATAGTTATCATTTGTGGTACAGAAAGCAACAGCTGTGACATTTAAAGGAATGGGGTATTGGGATTATAGAGAGTTAAATGCTTTGAATTTTTTTCATAAGTTTTAAGGCTCTCCAACTAAAGTGGCACAGGGGCACAGGGGCAGAGTTACAGCTCTGCATGCATGCATAGCTGTGCTAGTTGACCAAGCTTTGACTCCAAAATGAACAAAGCAGGGAATGAGCTGGCGATACTGACGGATCAAAATAACCACGTGACCCAGGATTTCATTTGAATTACATAATGAAATTCAATTTAAAGACAAAAATATAATAATTTTAATTGGAACATTAAACTCCCAATAGGGAAACATACACTGAACATTAAATGTTAGCACTGAATTTACCCATAGAGAAAAACTGGAAAGATAGACCAATTATTGGAGCCACAAGCTGGGTTTAAATTCATGGCTTATACATTGTCCACATCCACAATGGGGGTGCTTGCATTAACTGGTCATAAAGAGGCATTTGAATCACGTGTATTAGAGTAGCATTAATTTGTTAGGATCCTGATTGTAACTATCACGGTTTGTTACCTTGTATATTAAAATAGATTAGCTTGATTTATGCTTTCTGTTCCTTAGTTTTAGCTGATTTCCTGATGTAAATAGATTAGCTTGATTTATGCTTTCTGTTCCTTAAGTTTAGCTGATTTCCTGATGTAAATAGATTAGCTTGATTTATGCTTTCTGTTCCTTAAGTTTAGCTGATTTCCTGATGTAACCAATTGTAAATCTTGGTCTATATAATAGACCCAATTTAATATATCATCAAGCTGCGAAGGACAGCAACTTCTGTTATGGTATCAGAGCTTGACGATCAACAAGCCTTCGTTTTTTTTTTTTCATCATGACTTCCGCACCTAAAACCTTCAAGGTTTCTGATTCTAAGTCACCCTTTTACTTACACCCATCTTGGATCATCGACAGTGGTGCATCCCAACACATGACGGGCACACTCTCCTATCTATCCAATGTGCATTCTATTTCTCCTTGTTCTGTGGGACTGCCGAATGGAGTTCATGATATTGCTACGCAATGTGGCAGCATTACTTTGGGCTCTTCTCTTCATCTCTCCAATGTTCTTTATGTCCCTTCGTTGGCTTGTAATTTGATTTCTGTATCTCAGCTTCTGCGCCAGTCTTGCTTGGCATTGTTTGTTAATTCTGTTTGTTTGATACAGGACCTAAAGCAGAAGAGGACGATTGGAACGGGTGTTGAACGAGAAGGGGTGTATATATTGTGTGCATCATCAGCTTCTGCTCATGTTGCCAGTACGTCAGATTCTGCAGCACTATGGCATCGTCGTCTAGGACATCCATCTTCCCGTTATTTATCTTTGTTACCTTTTATTTCCAATGCAAATAATTTGGCTCCTTGTGACGTTTGTTGTAAAGCCAAACAAACGTCACAAGGAGCCAAATTATTTGCATTGGAAATAAAAGGTAACAAAGATAAATAACGGGAAGATGGACAGCAACTTCTGTTAACGTGGCATGAATCCCTTCACTCATCTTCACCAAACACCAACTCATAGAATTGCTTGAATCTTTATTATGTAAATATTACTGGTATAGGACACTAAGTGGCTTTGTATACCAACTTCTGTTTTGCCAATCATAGGAAGGAAACAAACACAGCCTTCATAATCAACAAAATATAATCATGCATATTATTACTAATATATATATATATTTTTGTGCAAATGGCCCAGAGAGAGAAAAAGGGAGAGGGGTCATAAACTCATAGTCTAGAACTCTTAATTGGACCAGTGTTTAGAATTTAGAAGTAGAAGTGTAGAACTACTGAGTCTCCAGGACCAGGAAAGCCTGATAACATGCAGGAATAGGCACAGGGTACTTAAAAAAGTTTAACTTATGGTTGTCACTCACGTGGTTCAACCCTTTCAAGTGGGTAGCGCCTAGGGGATATGACACGTGGTTGATTCCCACAGATGAAAGCCTTCGAACATGGACCAGTCAAACACAATAGCCAAAATTTGGAAAGTAAAAGGCTGTGTGGGATTTGGCTTGATCTTGGTCTTGGTCTCCCATCTTGTTAGCAACTACTTGCATCTTATTGGCTGTGATACTATCTAAACCTAACTTAATTTTATATTACATCTTGTATTTATTGTGTATATATGTTCATTTTCCAATGTCAGATCAGGAAGAAATAAGAACCATTTGATTCTTTTATGTTTATTGTTTGGCCGCTAGTGTTAATTGAGGCTTATTTGAGAAAGTGAAAACAAAAATTTCGAGCATATTTAGCAACCAATCTTTCGACTTACTACATAAGTAAAATATTGGTTTTTTTTTTTAATGTATTTGGTATATTAAAATATATTTTTTATTAAATAGTAGGAAGATGATTTTATGTCAAAAAAATATTAAAAGATTTTATTTTATTTTTTGTGATAAACCACAAGTATCCTTTACGAGAGGCAATCTTTCAAGACTAAAATTTTAAACCCTTATAAAAAATGGTATTGAAGAAGACTAAATACATACTCTCATTACCACCTGCTAAAAAATAATATTAAAAAAGATCGAATATATATTTTCATTCTCATCTGCTTAGCTTTCATACGCCAAGTCAATTGATAAAAGATTGTTAAGCTATATACAAAACTCTTTCTTTGTAAGAGGGTTTATACCTTCCCTTTCGGGTTTAGTGAGTAAACCAATTACTAAGGTACGGAAATGCACGGCTGCAGTGGACAAATGCTAATAAGTATTTTTAAATCACTTGTTATGGATTTAAAAATAAAAAATTTCTTTTTTTTACAAAAATTTAATATATTAAAAATGCATTTTTAATTTGTAAAGAACCAGTTCAATCCAAAAACTTAAGCTATTGGGTAAAGCTATATTAATGGTTTTATATATCTCAACACGCCCCTTACATGGGTGAAGCTACATTAATGATTTTATATATCTCAAGCTGTTGGGTGAGGCTATGTTAATGATTTTATATATCTCAACATAGTTATTTTTTTATTGTTAGATTCCTTAACAAATATCCTATACAATGTAAGATTTAAAGCAAATTGAACTCATTGTAAAATACTGTTTCATTAGCATCATTGAAATTCGTTACTGTTCTTCAGAAGACTTGGGGGTAAGATAAAACAAATGTATGCAGAGTTATGATCCTTCTAAGAAATTCTCTTCTTCTTCTTTTTAAAAAAATAAATAAATAAATGTTTTGGAGACAGACATGGACCTACAATTTAAATAACACTTTCCAAAAGTCCTCAAGTTGGGAAGAGCCTTTCGTTGAGGCAGTACTTGCACTGTGATATAAGAGGCCAAGTCACGCTTACTGAATTTATGCATTAATTATCACGACTTTTTGAGGATTGCGCCAATTGCATGCCACACGTTAGGACCTTCTCTGATCCTCTCCTTACGCGTTCCACACATTAGGCACAAACTTAGTTTCTTACACTTCACCAAACACAAGCTCCGCTGTAAAAGCTTCTCCATATATAACTTCATCACCGTTGAATTTTTAATAATATAATTCAACGGTTGGATTAAATTACCTATAACTTTGATGGAATGTCATTTTTTTAATTTAATTATATAAGCTTGGGCCCTCAAAACATAAAAAAAATTATGCTCGGAGATTGCAAATCGACCCCTAATTTCATTGGTCCCTCAGAAGCTTGCAGCAGCTCACCGTCTTCGATCACCGCATTCAGCAACACGCCAACACCTCACCGTCAATCTGAAGACTTGCTTAAAATATTATTACATTAGTTCTCTAAATAATTTTTTACTAGACCAATCTCTTAAAATAATAAAATTAACATCAAATTCGTTTATATAAAATACTAAATAATAGTATAAAGAGATAAATAAATGTAAATTTTGTATTTATAAGAGAATAATTACATAAAATGATTTAAAATTTAAGATAGTGATATTTAATTTTTGAGATATTAACTTATTAATTAAGAATTTTTAAACGACTAATTGTACAATGTGTTCAATTTTAATAATTCAATTGATCGTGACATGTAATAGCAAGTCAATTGTCTCTAGCAACTATACACATCTCATGTGTAACATTAATGTAAACACGACCGAATTGTAGAGAATAAAGGTATGCATGAAAACGTTTTTAAAATAATTTTTTTAGTTTGAAAAAGAAAAATATAATAAAAAAATATTTGACAAAATTGATTTATTTTTCTATTTCAGAAAATGAATCAATAATTTTAAAATTCAAATTACAAGAAATAAGAAATATTTTTTACACTATATATTAAATGTATATATTATAAAATGTGTTATTATGATTAAACA